GAAGTCCCCAGAGTGGGCGCAGAGAGCCCCAGATGGGGGGCTGTATTTTAGAAGCTCGAGTTTGGGCAACGTTGGAGGGAAAGCCCCAGGAGGGGGCACTATTGTAAAGGCCCCAGATGGGGTGACACTATAGAGAAGGCCCCAGAAAGGGGCAACGTTACAGGGGGGCCCCGAGTGGGCTCAGAGAGCCCAAGAGACGGCAGCACAGAAGAGGAGGCCCCAGAGAGCGGGGCGAGAGTACATAGAGGAGGCCCAAGAGACGGGCCGTGTACATATAGAGAGACATACCAGTGTCTATCCCATCAGCGAGGCTTGGAGCGTGGTATTAGGGGTTGGTAGGAGCCACGCGTAGCCCGTAAGGCTAGGGTGCCTGGGGAGCACCCATCATACCGGGAGACCCCCAGGGGGTCCGGGAACACACGGGGACAGAGGTCCCAGCTAACCGTGCCCAGGGAGTCGTAAGGCAGCCTCCCAACTTTATCTAATCATCAAAGACGTGGCAGGCGAGAATTTGAGGGTGCCCTTGGGCCAACTTGGCACAGTGAGGGGGCCGTAAGGAGACCACGGCCCTCCTATAGGACCCCGCCGTGACATCATAGTATAAATTTGGTATAGAATCTAAGTATTTGAGGGTTGTGTTAAATTGGTATCACCCACTGCTGCAGGGGGGTGGGATACAGGTGGCAGGGAGTCCAGTGTCCTGACACCTGTCCCTTCCACGCTGCTTGCTCCCCCCCAGCTGCAGCACCTTCCAGAAAGTAGAGTTGTTTAAATTTTGGGGGTTTTTTGTTTGTTTTTTTTGTTAAGCTTTTTTTTGTTATCTTTTTCCATAGTTCCTGGTTGGCAAAACCTTGGCTGAACAGAGTGTCAGACAGGTCTGATATATTTTAGCATCTCTGCAGCAGAAATAATCCATGCTTTGTCTACAATTCTTGTGTTTGCTTTGACAAATCCAAGAAGGATCGGGCTAACCCTGACTGCCTAAGGCCCTCGGAGCACTGCTTTTATCTTGGTGATTTTTGTCCTGGATGAGCTTGTTAGTTGTCAGGGTCCTTTGTCTTGTACAGTGGGTTGTAATGATTTCTGTTGTAGGCTTGTCCTTGCTACTTGAAGGCAAAGCTTTAGAACTACCACTAATGAGAGAGAGTGCAGTTCCACATGTATACACTCCTGCCCCATTCACTCGCTCATACCCCTACACTTTCCTCCCCTGCCCTCCTCCCTTGATTTCTGCTCCCAGGTATAAGAGTCTAGCTGGGTGTTGTTAACTTTGAGTGCATCTCTCCCTCTTCATGCTGAGGTGCAAGAGCTCTCTGCCTCCCTGCTATACCTGCAGATTCAAGAAGATCAGGAGCTCTTCCTCTGCAGCCTGCTTCAAAAGCAGAAAGCCGATGTCTGCCGCATCTAACTTGTGTGCTCCCTCTGGTGCCTTCTATCGTGACTGTGTGCTCTTCTTCTCTAGCACCACAAGCTGGCCCGAGTGGACATTTATGAGAAGCTGCCTGTTCCCTTCGGCCTCGTTCGTTTTGGCGTGGCACCGGACCACCCTGAAGTCAAGGTTTGTAGTGGTTTCCCCATCATCTGGCAGGGCTCAGAACGGAGAGGGCCCATCATTAACTTTGGAGAGGGACGCACTGGCCTCTGCCTTGCCTGTCTGTGGTGCAAGCTGACAGCAAGTCTTGGATCCCTTTGGTCCCAGGCATGAGAAGTAACGAGGGCAGGGATGCAATTCCTGTGAGGTAATTTCCCCTGTTGTAACTGTCCTTTCTCTGGTTGCAGATCACTCAAGGGGGAGGGAAATGGGTTGTTTGCAGAGGCTTTAAATGCTAAGTTCTGGAGGAGAAGCTTGGGAAGAGGGAAGCTTGTTATCTATAACAAGCTGTTTTACTGTCTGACTCAAGCAGGCAACTTCCTATGAAAGCGGGGAGCACAAGGCAAGGTTGGCTTGGGCAGGCGGCTGGCACTGTTGAATGGGATTATTCAGCCGTTCTTATCTCTAGAGTTTAGTTTTTTCTTCTCAGTTGCACATGGGCAGTCCTGGTCTCCAGTCATCCGGGGAACAGCAGGATCTGTTGTGGCTACTGAAAACATTCCATCTGTGAGGTTCTTGCTTTTATTGTAGGAAAACAAATGATTTTTCCAACAGACAAGCAAGACTGACTCATCTGCCATGCCAGCTGGAGCCTTGAGTTGTCTTGGTTAGCATTGGGACAGTCATTCCCAGCACTGTTCAGAGGGCAAGATTTGAGTCAAACCCTCCAGCTATCTGTTCTCTCCTTTTCAAAGGTGGAATCTTGCACCGGTGGTAGATGGGACACTGAAAAATGAGCTCTACTTTCTTCCAACAGAACTGACAGAAATGGTGCCAAGCCACAGATAACTGTGTCTGTTTTAAAAATGAATTACACGGAGCCTTCATCTGATAAGGGCTGTGAGGCATGAATCGGAGAGAGCTTCAAGGTCCCATAGGGCCATTGTTGAGACCTCTCTGCCGGCTCCTCTTTTTGGTTGTGTTTTGTTGGGATGTAGCATGCAGCTGTTCTTGTTAAATCCTTTCGCCTTTCTTCTCCACCCAACAGAATGTGATCAACACCTTTACCCAGACGGCCCAGTCTGATCGCTGCTCCTATTATGGGAATGTCACTGTCGGGAAGGATGTGACTGTAGAGGAACTGCAACAGGCTTATCACGCGGTAGTCTTGGTGGGTTGATGGACTGTATGTTGAATTAGAAAAGGGTTGAAGAGAACCAGATGTGCTCGAATGGTCAGCATGTTTATACCAGTGTAGTCAATGTAACACTGATGTAAAAACCCTGGCAAGTGAGACAACCCCCTGAACCAGGGGAACTTCCACTGATTTGGTGAAGTACTCCTAAAGAGAATTGGGGGTACAACTCCTGCAGTTAGACTGGCTTGGGTTTGTGTCTGTCCTCGGGTAGCTGTTTGCTAAACCTGTTTTGTTGCCCAGTAGTAAGATACTATAAGAGTTGCAGCCTGCCTCTTCCTGATCCAGCATAATTTACAAAGCCATGTATATACGCTGTGATAAATGTTCATTTGTCTATGTGTTGGGTTTTTAAGGAGAAGAGTGTCTTTAATCCATTTATGGCCCTCATTACTCTAGTAACTCATAATTTCACAATCCTTTAAAACATTCATCATCCCACCCCACTGTGAGGCAGGGCAGCGTTTTTCCCCTTGTCACAGATGGAGAACTGAGGCCCAGGGGTATAAGGGACTCGCTCAGGGTCATCCGACTCGAGGGGAGAGTGGTTAAATTGTTTTGCTGTGCATCCAGAAATGTGAGTTTGAGCCTCTCTGGATCTGTGTGGAATACCAACCCTAGCCAATCCAGCTATAAATGGTCACCTGGTCATTTGGGTTGGGGAAATTGAGGCAGCTGGACATGAAGCTGGCCACATCCATCCCTTTGGGAGCCTTGTGGGCTATAGAGACCGGTGTCTCTTAACCCTGCTGGGGCTTGGGCATTCCTTTGATGTAATGTGTCAGTGACAGGCTTTATGACAACTTGATGGGATGCCACAGGGTGGGGGCAGGTGCATATATGCTATCTCTTTAGGTTCACATTACCTATGGTCTCAAAGAGCAGCTTGAAAACCCACCTCTCCTCTGTCCTATAACTTTGCCTTACATAGTGTCATGTTCCCAGGTATTTCTCCACGTCCCAGGCGTGGAGAAAGGCCGTGAAACTCGCATTGGAAGCTTCGCTATACAAATCTGTCAACCCAGGACATACTCTGGAGGTTGGCAGCAGTACAGCATCCCACAGGTGGTTCCCTCAGATGGCAGCAGCCCTTCTGTGGAGGAGATTTACCCTGTGTATTGCTTTCACACCAGTGTGTACTGATGCACATTTGACTGGGGTTGTTCTTTCTACCTCTGCAGAGCTATGGGGCAGAAGATAACCGGATCCTTGGCATCCCGGGAGAAAACCTGTCTGGGGTTTATTCAGCCAGAGCACTTGTGGGCTGGTACAACGGGCTGCCTGAGAACAGAGACGTGAGTGAGTGGGCTGGTGTTTCTGTCTCTTGGCCTCATGCATCCCCTATGTCTGAAATGCAGTCATCCATCTTGGGATTAGTGCCTGCCTGAGAGGCCTGCAGTTGGAAAAGATTAATAGGCCCCACATTAAATCCCCCTTAGATGATAAATGTGTAAATGATTTATGTGGCAATAAAAGCGGATTAGGTGGCTCTAAGTTGGCAGCATCTTCTGGAGATGCTGTAATGAAGCCCAGAAGGGACACGTTTTAGTCTGGGGAGATTTAATTTGGTTTGCTGGTAGCTCAGAGGTGCCATGTGAGGAAACTTTAGAGGCCTGCAGTGGTGCTCTGGAAGAGGTGGGAATTGGAGAAATAACTGAGAGCAAGGACACAAGACACACACCAGTATGATCTGTCTGGAGCAAGCGTATAGCCCTACCCATGTAAATAACCCTAGTCCAGGACAAAACTGTGCTGCAAAGAGTCAGTAGTAATTGTATGTCAAGGCAAGTCACTCTGGTCTCTGTCCTGTCTTAGCTCTGCTTAGTTTTAACTGCCTGTCTTGTAATTACCCTCTGCTCAAACTATTACTTGCTTTCTGTGCCACCAGCTGGCAAGGGGCTAGTACAGCAGCCTGTAGTCTGCTACTCCCAGATAAGCCCATCAGTCATTTCTCTGCTTAGCATCCTGGTATAACTTGCATCTGTGAACGAAACCGATGCAGGTTGCACCACGTAAATGTGCTGTGCGGCTGCTCCCTGATCCTATCACATAGGTGCTGTGCTGCCAAATATGTGCTAGAACTGCAGGCTGAAGGAGGAGACTTGGACCTGTGCTAGCTGGTTTTGTCTGACGGCTAGAGTGAAGTAGGAGGGTTCTGTATTGGTACTGAGGAGGGGATGGAAAGAGCCAGCTGCTGGAGAAGCGAAAACCCTATTTCTGGCTAGAGGGTCCTGCCCTTGCACTTGAGGTCATCCCAGTTGCCAAGTTTGGGGTCAGGAAGGGATCTTCCCCCTAGGTGAGACTGAAGACTGCAAGGAGTTTTGCTACCTTCTGTAGCATGGGACGTGGTCCTTTTCTTAGCAGCCTCTGAGCATGTTAACTAATTATTTCTCTGCCATAATTAGAGGTTTACCAATACATCGGTTCAATATCGGATCGGCACTGAAATAAAGAAACATTTCTGTATCAGAAACTGGGCTGATGTGGCTGATAAATGGCCATGCGTGCGCGCAGCCGCAGCACAGCACATAGGCAGTGAGGAGTAGAGCCAGCAGCATGAAGTGCTGCATGCAGCTGGTAAGTCTGGTGTGTTAGAAGGGGATGGGGGAGATGAAGGCCTCCGTGGCGAGGGAAGGAGTGGGGTTGGGGCTGGGGCTGGGGCTGAGGCTGAGGTGGGCGCAGAACATGAGAAGGGAGGTAGGGGGGCAGGTTCTGCTGCTGTACTTAACTCGTCTGGTGCTAGTTTGGTGGCTCCTGCTGCTGCTGCTCTTGCTGCTCGTTCAGGAGGACGTGGGGGTAGGGGGGTGTGCATGGTGTTTCCCCCACATCTGGGCAGGGCGGGGTGGGCTGGGGCTGGGCTCTTCTGGCCGGGCAGATCTGGGGGCACATGCCCCACCATGCCCTCCATGACAAGCGGTGGGAGCTGCCAGATGAGCACTAAATTAGCTGCGCGCACTGGCGGGATCTGCCCCTCTCCTCTGCCTTCCTGCACCCCTCCGACAAGCTGTGCCTCTGTCCTGTGCCTGCCCCAGCCCGCCACATGCTGTGCAGATCCGGGGGGGCACACGCCCTGCACCCCCTGGACAAGCTGCTTGTGGTTCTGTCCTATGCCCTTGCCTGCCCTGGCTGGTCAGCCACAGCCCCATTCCCTCCCTCACCACAGGGGCCTTGATCTGCCGCCTCCTCCCCTGCACTTCCCTCCCCTTCCACCACACCAGACTTACTAGCTGGATGCAGCTCTTCAAGTTGAAGAGCTGTGAATCGGATCGTTATCAGCCAGTACGTCTCCTTAAAAATTGGCCGTCAGTATCGTCCCCAAAAATCTCTATCGGTGCATCCCTAGCCATAATAGTTGACAGCACTTTAGCTCTGCCCTTATGTCCCCTTCTTTAACCTGTGGGTGTTTCTGGTTTTGTGCCTTGGGGTTATGTGAGAGCTTGAAGTGGTTACTTTTGAGTGCAGGGGAGTGGATCCTGACCTGGAAGTCTCCTTCTAGTCCTGTGTTGCTGTGAAAGTAGCAGGGCAGACTATTGAATCTGCTTTCTCTTGGCACAGTTGAAGCCTGACCTGAGCAGCAAGACGGCGCTGGTTCTGGGGCAGGGAAATGTGGCACTGGATGTTGCTCGGATTCTACTGACTCCACTCGATTTACTCCAGGTGAACATATGGAGAATGCTCCATGTTGTAAAATAGGCCAGGCTTGATTTGGCATGATAGGTCAAGAACCCTTTCATGCAAGGTATATTAGGATCTCTTCTAACAGGAGAATGCAGACCAAGTACCAGAAGCAGCCATGTGCCCCAGTAGCTGCACTCCTGGACTCTCCTGCCTAGTTGAAACTTTCTGTTTTCAACTGAGAGCTTTCCTCCCTTGTAGCCTGCTTAACCCTTCAGGAAAACTGCTGGCCTGCTTGAGCCAGGTCAATACCTGGACCTGGATTTGCTGCTAGCCTAGTGGATTTGGTACTAAAATAAAAGGGAGGGAAGTGCCATGCTCCAGTATGATCTATCATACCATGGGTTGAGTATCTATCATACCTGAGTGCCCTGAGAGCTAGAGAATGCCTACACAGGGGTGGTATCTCCCACAGCTGCCTGGCCTCTCCTGTAGTGCTCCTGGCCTTTGCTAATGTGGGGATTCGCACTCTGAGCCCTTTCACCCCAAACTTTGTCAGGCCTTTAATAAAAGCCATTAAATAGTGACACCTTTGTCCTTTCTCCCTCCCAGCAGAAACAGAGCCCTGGCCTGCCCCCTGCTAGAACTGCTGACAGATCAAGACCTGAACAAGTTCTTTTTGCAGGGGTCTGGTCTAGTCTCTGTGCCTTGTTCCACCCCAGTATGCCTTCTGCTGTAGCTCCTTGCTGCACTTGATGCACTAGCCAGCCAGCTCGCCTGCCTGTCAGTAGACTAGATTTGTAGGATTATCTCTTTCTCCACCAGGTTCCCAGTCTGACAGCTGTGAGCTTGTTGGCAACAGCTGTTCTACATGGCTTCTGTCCCAGATGTGAGCAGGGAGAGCATCCCAGACTTCCCTCTCCCTCAGGAACAGATGGGAGGCTCGTTAAAGCACAGCTAGGACCTCCCACATTACTAGTGAAATTAAAGGAAAGAAAAGGTTTGGGATGTTGGCAGTTTCAGAGGCCTTTAAAGAGTTAAACGGATTGGGAGTGAGCCCATGGTTTCAAATGCTGCCTCTTCGGGACCATCTGTAGTACCTAGAATGGACGCAATGGGGGCAGTGGCACCATAATGTTCCAGGAGAGGACTGGGATTGAATACACGCTCCCTGTCTAGTGTCTTTTACCCTTCTCCATTTCTGCAGAGCTGATCCAAATAGGGGAGGGCCTGGATTTTATCCAGTAACCTTGTCAGTGAGTTCTGATTGTGGGATCTTTATCTTTTGACATCAAAGCGGCAGATCACACCTGGTAAAAGCACTGCCTGCTTGGGATCTGCCAGCAATCTTTCTTTTTGAATGTCCTCACCATCGCATAGTGAAATATCCTTAGGTTTATTCTCTCTGCCATACCATTTTTTTTTTCCTTTTTAATTTTAAATGATGCCCGGTCAGATCCGTTGGTTATCTGTGTCAGTAGGAAAGCCACCCCCATTTTAAAGAATTGGAGGGAAGAAATCTCCAGCCAACTCTTGAGTGCCCTCTTGAAGCTGTGTGCGCCAGAAAAGCAAGATTTCTTGTCCCTGCCTGCTCCACTGGCTCCAAGCTAGAACAGACTTCCTTTAGCACCACCTTTTAAAGGGCTTTTAAAGAAGGGGGAGCACTTGTGGGCTTCTCTTTGAGACTGCCTAGTAGAGTGTTGCCTTGTTTGTGCCGAGTTGTGATGAAATACAGGATCATGGAGAATATATGGGGGCTGGGGTCATTTGAGCCCAGTTTTTTCTTCCTGCCCAGGCAGGGGGTTGGACCTGAAGATCTACAAGGTCCCTTCCGACCCTACTTCTATGATTCTGTGATATGTGCTGTGTTCTGGCAGTAGCTGTGAAAACAGCTTCAGACCAAGGGAGCTGACTGTTAGGCTGTTTCCCTCTCTGGCTGGTGCCTGCATTTGTGGACCCAATTCCCTCCTTCCCCTGCTGCTTTTGTTTGTCTGACAGAAGACTGACATCACTGAAGGCTCCTTGGCAGCCATAGCCTCCAGCAAGGTGAAACGTGTGTGGCTTGTCGGGAGGAGGGGCCCTCTCCAGGTGGCATTCACCATCAAGGTAAGACTCTCTTGCTTGAGCTGGAGGTGCCCTATGGTAATAGCATTTGCTGTAATTCTTACTCTAAGCCTCTTGTTGGGTCTGAACTTAGTGCATGTTCTTGAATCTGCTTGCTTTAGCTGAGAGTCTCTTGGCTGGCATGTGAACCCAGGTTACTGTGCCCACATGCTGACCCCAAGCTTTCCTGTAGAATAGGAGTTGCGTGCTCAAGAAGACTTCCTTGTGAAGCAGGCAGCTTCTCCTCTGGGACCTGTGCTCTTGTCTCTCACGGACACAACCGGAGCAGGGAGGTATAATGTCTTCCTGTCTGGGATTTCCAGGAGTTGCGGGAGATGGTCAACCTGCCCGGCGCCAGACCCATCCTGGACCCTGCTGATTTTACAGGCCTTAGAGATGCTATTAAAGGTGAGGAAACCTGCAACCCGGCTGTGTTTGGGGGATGGCGGGGGTGGAGAGGGGAGGAGGGTCTTACAGGGAGGCCTGCTCGAGGGAACCTGTCGAAGTAAGCAATGAGCTGAGAGCCTCTTGTCTTGCCTTCCAGGTTGATTACTACAGGAGAACGCAGCTAGTGCATGATTGTCCTCCCAGCCTAGTTGGGCTGACTCTCCACCCCCACCCGCTGGATCGCAGCACTGGGGTGGGGAACTGAGCCCAGGCTCAATACCCTTCCCCTGCGCTGTTATCAGCTTCCAGCAGCAGGAGACAGGGAGAGCCAGGGCTGTGCTCCCAGCTGGTGCTGGGAGTGCAGCCCTGGTTCTCCCCTGTTTCTCCACTGCTGACTTCAAAACTCGAAACGTTTCGACTAGCCTCGTTTTGTTTCGAGGCTGTTTCAAAGCTCTTCATTTTGATTTGATCTCGCTGTTTTGAGCTTGAAATTAGTTGAAACAGTGTCGAATCGAAGCAATCGGCGAAATTTCGCGCAGCCCTAATTGTTTTGCCAGTGCCTTCTGGCTGAGCCATGGCAGCAGTGTCACTGTTTCAGAGGGCCCCTCTACACATTACATTTATGGTGCAATTAAGGTGTTAATTGCAGCACAAATGGCAAAGGTGCTACATATGCAACCAATTTAAGCTGTGTTAAAATGGCAAACCAACTATGAAAATATTGTAGGTGGAATACAAACTAGTCACAAGTGTTTTGTGTGGTGCTTTTTAATTTTGAACATGTGGCATGTCCAGGGCTGCCCCAGGGCCAGTGACCAGTTGATTCTTGGCTCTGTCCCCAGGACTGCACCAGGGTCTCAACCTGGCTGCTGCAGCTCATCTTTAATAACTGATTCCTGGGGCTGGGACCAGGACGTACTGGGGTGTGGACATCTGGCTTTCAACTTCCCAATGCTGTGAGAACCCAGCATCATGATACTGGGCTGTCTCTGCACTGGCAAGTAGAAAGGGCCCTGTTTGGGCTCTAACCCCAAAATTAGCTCCTGCCATGCGCACACATAGCTGGACAAGAGGCACAGAGGATGGGATCGGGGATCAGATCCCATCATACCTTTAAACTAATGTGTGCCAGGAGCCAGAGGCTCCTAAAATGCCAGGAGTGTAGCAAAGAGAAAAGGACATCTGTGCATTCCTGGAGATCCCAGCATAGCGGAGCTGGCTGAATGCTGCTGACTTTATATTTTTGTTTTAGCTTTCATAGGGCAGGGTGGTGAGCAGACATGAAGGGCCAGGTGTCTGTTTCTGACTGCGTATAGGGGTATGCAAGTCTTGATATTGAAGCTTGTTTTAAAGCTAAAACTGAAAGAAGAGTTGTGTTTTAAAGTGTGCAAGGGCTTTCTCCTCCAAATTTGGATTTGGAACAGATTCCCCAAGAGTTGCAGTCTCCAAAGTCCCAGGTGGTGGGTGCAGCCACCCAACAACTACCTGTATGAATTGGCTTTGGCCTTAAATTGACCCATGGGCTAGCAAGCTCTCTGAGTTAGCTTGTTGACTTCCGTTCCTTCAGGATTAACTGTCCAGAGGCCCAAACAGTTCTTCCTCCTTTCCTGTTCTTTCTTAGTTGACTGATGGACCTTGGTCTGGAGTCCCTCATGCTCCTGCAGTCCTCTCTTTAATTTTCAGATGTCCCCAGACCGAGGAAGCGGCTGACTGAGCTGATGATCAAAACAGCCCTGGAGAAACCTGGTGAGAAGGAGGCCAAGATTTGGGCATCAGCCACCAGGGAGTGGGGCTTGAAGTTTCTGCGCAGTCCTCTGGAGATTCTGCCCACTGCCAATGGGAAGCGAGCAAGAGGGATCCGTATGGCTGTCACCAGGTTGGAAGTATGGACTTTCAGTTCTCTCTCCCTAGAGTGTTGGCACTTTCCCCTTGCCTGGGTGCCTGCATTGCTGGGAGGTGAACCTGGGGCAGCTCTAATTGAAAGATAGCCAGGGAATTCGAGGCTGATAGGAGCCAGCAGAGCTGGCTGCTACCTGAGCATCTGAAATGGCAGGTTTTGGGAAGCCAATGCTGCCTCTCGGTCAGGAGCCGTTCCTGATGTGACACAGAGGGAGATTTTCCTGTATGTTGGTGTTGAGCTGGTATAGGAGCATGTCCCACACCCATCTGCATCTCCTGCATCTGTTCCACCTCCTCGATTTCACTGGCAACATCGCTGCTTCTCCTGGCAGATCCAGTTGAGGGTCTTAAGGCTACTCTGATTTCTCCTCTCTTCCCCCTCTCTCTCCCTCCCTTGGCTATGCAGGGTTCAGGCGAGTCAGCCACAGCTGTCCCCACTGGAGAAGTTGAGGAGCTTGAGTGTGGATTGATCCTCAGTAGCATTGGCTACAGGAGCCTTCCCCTTGGACCTTCTGTTCCATTTGACCCCAAGCATGGGATCATCCCCAACCACCTGGGCAGGGTTCAGGGGGTCCCAGGTCAGTATTATCCTCGGTGTTTTTGAATGCAAGTGGTTGCGATGTCTGTGTGAGTGAAGGGTGGGGGAGTCTGGTTTGTAAGGAATGAGGCTGGGACCTGAGCTCCCTTGTTCTGCTCTGATTTAGTTTGTGGACTCCCTACGTGACACCCTACCTCACCTTGGGCAGCCTTTTAGCTCTTCTGACAGAAACTGCTTATAAGTGTCCAAAATGTAACCGGAGCTGGCTGTGTTCTGTTCATGAAAATTTTAAATGGTTGTTATAAGACCTGTCTTGTAGCTCATAATGTTAATAGCTCAGATGTTTGCAGCAAATGACACTGAGGAATGCAGTCATTTTACTAGGCCTTGGGGGTTTATTAATGAGAGCGAGCAGTCTGTGGTGGCTGTTTTTTAAGGCTCATCCCAGTGCTATAAACTGATAGCTGTGCACTGGGGAGGGACAGGTGGAGGGGGGAGGGATTGTTTTGGGCAGTGCTGCTGAGATGATGCAGTGTATTTGCATGGTGTAGAAGGCAGTCTCCCCAGGTAAACTCCACTGAGCGAACCCTTTGGTGGGCTTGGTAATGATAGTGTAGTTTTTCTTGGCTGCAGTGGCCACCTAAATCTGAGACATTTTATATAGGAGGAGGCGTGGAACTTTAGTGGACTAGGAATTTATCCACATGAAACATCAGTAGATAAGGAGATATGTGTTGCATCTCTTCCCCACAAAGGGACATTTGTACTGGGGAACTGAGCATGCCCCTATATGCACACTGGGGACTGTATTGAGGCACGGCTGATTTTGTGTAATGCTCTGTAGGGCTGTACTGCAGCGGCTGGGTGAAAAGGGGACCTACTGGGGTGATCATCACCACCATGAACGATAGCTTTGACACAGCCCAGTCTGTGCTAGAGGACCTCCAGGCCGGGATGCTGAATGTTTCAAACACCAAGGAAGGCTTTGAGTCTGTGAGGAGCATCCTACACAGTCGAGGTCAGTGGACATGCTTATGGGCAACCTCTGGCGTGAGAGTCTATGGCAACAAATGCACTGTATGCATTTGTATACTACACTTACTTTTTTCCTGAAAATTATAGATCCAAACCTGGGGTGGGCATCTTAAATGAGGAAACTGATTCTGAACAATTTGGTTAAAGGGGGAAATCTCTATCTTCATTCTGCTTTTTCAAAACAAAGTACATGTCTTACTTGGCGGCATGGGATATGTGAATAGAAATGAGTATATGTTCAATCCAGAGAGCCTCTTAGAAATCATACATGAGAGAACTGGACAGCAGGGTTTTTTGTATTTCTGTCTTAAAAGCTTAACGCCCAGGTTCTAAGAGGACAAAAGGAAAGTGGTTTTTTTTTTTCATTCTTGTTTCCATTCATTGTACCTTCCCGTACCTGCTTAACCAGCCGACATCATGATGACTACCACCTGGCCTCATACTGATTTGGAGTGAATTTTGCAGGAGGGGAAAATCTCATGAAGCACAAGCTTCTCCTGACTCAGTGTTTCCCTTTTGCACGAGCACCTAAATGGTTAAATTCTTCCTTCATATCCCACTTGTTCTTCTAAAGTCTGGTTCAGACTCTGCCTGCTGATTAGAAGTCTTTGAAGCATTTCTCAAGGCCCTTTTATTATCTACCCATCACTCTTTGCCAGGTACCCCCACCCCTTTTTAAATAAAAAGTGTGTGAAAATTATATGATGCATGTTGATGCCATCTAAATTGCTGGGACAGTAATGAGAGAGTCTGTTTTGTGGTACATAATATTGAGAAATTAAAGCTAAATGCTTTTATTGCCCAAAAGTACTATTATGAGCAACTGCTGTTCAGCCTAGTCTCTTCATGTTTTAATAGAACATGGAAGCTTGTATACAAAGCTTTTTTGAGGCAGCTTTGAAGAGTCAGTCCTCTGGACTGAGATTGTCCAGGCTGTCCCAGGTCATCGGGCAACAATGCTTCTACAAGCTTTCCACCAATACAGTGTTTGCATGAAGCCTTGACCCTATGTTGGAAGAACCATTCCCGCAAGCGTGGGATTCTCTTTGTGGTCTGCTGAGTTTACTGGCGAGATTGCAGAACCCATTGGTGTACACAGCAATGGGACTGCCTGTCCTCTGTGGTGTGAGACGTGCAAACTCGTTTCACAGATGCGAAATGTAGCTGCTGTTCTCTTCATCTACTCCATTTCTGAATTGACTTAGAACAGTAGGGGGGTCAACTTTTTTGGCAGACTTGCCACAAATTAGGTCCACGGTTTTCCCAAGTACTACTCCCAATCCCTTTCTTCTGCTTAGTCCTGCTATTCTGCTTTCTACTTCTACTTCCTGATGAAGGACTGTCCCTGGTCCTGGGTTCAGGTCTTCCTCTCCTAGTTCCCTCCTCGGATGTGTCAGGATGGGCGAGCTGTCCAAGGTACTGCATTCAGGTCCTTTCTTCAATAGAAATGCCTTCATAGTCCACTCCTGAAAGCAGTCTACATCTTTTTTTTGTTTTTGCTTTAAACCTGCCTGCTTGGTGGCTCCAGGGCTTGGACGTTGGGCTAGGAGGTAGAAGAGGTTGAGTTCAAGGCTGCCCATGAACCCCCTCTTTTAGGTGATAAGACTAGGACCAATGGCCTCAAGCTTGAGCAGGGGAAACTTAGGTTAGAGATTAGGAGGAACTTTCTGACTACAAGGGTGGTCAAGCATTGGGATAGACATGGTAGAGAAATTGCAGATTCTCCATTCTTGGACGTTTTCAAGAGCAGGTTAAATAAATGCGTGGCTGTGATGATTTGGTCAGGGATACTCCTGCCTTGAGCAGGGGCCTGGACTCAGTAGTCTCACAAGGTCCCTTCCAGCTCTCTTTTTCTAGGGTCCTGTTAACTGAAGCAAAATCAAACTCACTTTCTCTCTCTCTCTCTCTCTCTCTCTCTTCCTTTCCTTCTGTCCTCTTAAAACCTGGGTCTGCCCCCCTTGCTGTAGCCTCTTCTCAGAGTCTTTCCAGGGACAGACCTTTTCCTCAGCCCTGTCCTAGTTGTAGGGGTCTAGGCATTATCAACCCCAGAAACTGCAAGGAACCCCCTGATAGTCTGCCTCTAGAGAGATTCCCTTCCCAGCCCTGCTCATTAGTGGCGTGTACATCCTGAAGCTTCTGTTCCTCTCTCATTTTTGAACCTGTCTCTTGTAATTTGTGAATGACTTCTCTGTTTTTCATAGAAATGTCGAATCCTGCTCTGAGTCCTGCTAATGTCTCTTGGCAGAGAGCTCGTAGGCTAGAGCAAAGTTTGTAACAAATTACGTTGTGCCCCAACTTTTTAGCACTTCAAGTGGGGAGCGAGGGAACCGTAATTCTCTCAACTTGGATGTAATCGCTAAGGTTAATAGCTGCTTGCTGAGGGGAGGTGTGGCTGCCGGGAAAGACCTGTTTAAAAGCAGTGCAGTCCTTGGATAAAACATCATTGTCAGCTGCATAAACAACAAGACTGTTGCTCTTCATCCGTTTTCTTAGCAATCCTTCCAGGCAAATTTGAGGATAGATTAAAACACCCGAGAGGGTCATTCACTATCGTTTTATTTAAAGGCTTTCAATTAAAGCACGCACTTCTGTCTAACAGTTGAAGACGTTAAAGTGAACTGGAGGCATTTCATCCCCTAAAATAGTGCTGTGCTGAATATTGTTATGGCTTGAAAAGGTCTGACTAATCAGATTTGACTAGAACTCTAGAGCCCCTCTTATAACAGATGTAGAAATTATGGCTTTGTGCTGTTGAGGCCTGAAGATGCCTGGGTGTGAGAGGCTTTGGCTTTTTCTTTTTTGCTTGTGTGTTTTAATTCCTGCTAGTCTGGGGACGGTTGATATGTAGTTTTTCCCTCTTGTAACATCAGGGGTCCATCCGGTGTCCTTCTCAGACTGGGAGAAGATAGATGCTGCTGAAGTGGCAAGGGGCCAACTGGCTGGCAAGCCTCGGGAGAAGATTGTGGATCCTCAGGAGATGCTCCAGTTGATTGGTCGCTGAAGAGGCCCATGATCAGCACTTCGACAGCGAGAACGCAGCACGCCAGCCGGCATCTGCTGGGGAAGTCCTGTTCACTGCTGGTTGTATGTGCAGTGGAGGATTGGTACAGTCAGAACCAGTTGCTCTTCTTGGACACCTGGGACAAGACACCTGGCTGCAGGGTTTTTTGGGGCTCTCCCTAGCTGAGCTGGAACTGACTCTGGGTTCTCAGAGTGGGTGTGAGCCACCCAAGAGCTGTGTGCCACTAAATGACACCAGGTCTTATCTCCAGCCCTGTTCTGTCCTGGGGCCACCTCTGCAGCAGTCGTCTGGAGCTCACTAACTGGGTTGTTAGACCAGGTGCCGCTTAGGTTGAGATTCCTGTCAGAAGAGGCCTTGCTCCTTTCCATTCTGTGAGCCTGAAGGGAAAGACTCTTTACTCAGTACTGTTTTTTAAACCCAATGAGAGAGAAATGAGTGACCATCTTTTCCATTTAGTCCAAAAGCCTAAAGCCAAATTGCCCTGTAACCTGTGTCAACTTCTGAGCAAGCTGTTTCTTTTATATAATCATTTGAAGTACAGCTACTCCTCGCTTAATGTTGTAGTTACGTTCTTGGAAAATATGACTTTAAGCCAAATGATGTTGAGCAAATCCAGTTACGTCACAGTAGTTACCTACTAGCAGGCAGCGGCCAAACAACGTTATAACTGAACATCGTGTGACTTTAAACAAGTGTGTTCTCTAATGGATCAGCGATTTGTAATAATGAAACGTTAACCGGGATGATGTTAAATGAGGAGTAGCTGTAAAACCCTTTCAGGAGACGGAGGATGAAACTCAGGCTACCATTTTAAAAGCCTAATTTGATCTCAGTGTTTGTCATAATCTTTGAGCTGGCTGGCCCACCTAGTACTGTATTTCCCCCTCCCCCAGATCTTCTCCCAGGCTCGGTACTAGTTGCCTGCTTGAAGCAAATGGTATCTGTATCAATAGACCTTGGAGACTCCTTATCTGCTCGGTAGCATTTCAGGATGGAAACCCAAATGCAACCTGGATTGTGGAGGGGGTTTTTTTTGCCTGTGGAGGAGGGGTGGTGGGTTAATGACCACGTAATTGGCTTGTCCTTAAATATCTGTGATCATCTGAGTACCAGTTCCTCAGAGGTGTAGCTGTCTGGCACTAGCACACTCTTGGTCTGCTTGCCTTTTTTATAGTCTGTTTGCTTTTGAAGCTTATCACATGCTCGTCTGACCAAATTTATCATGTTGACACAATGCCAGGTTTTAAGGCAGGACTTGGAGCCCCTGGAGACTAAACTCCTCCGTTTACTGACAGAATAATTGCAGTACAAACTGTGGCAGTGCACTTCAGCAGGACTGAGAAAATTTGCTTCTTGGCACCCTCTCTTTAGCTGAGTCTGCACTGGGGGGCTGGCCTGTCCCATACAAACTGTTCAGACGGCTCCTGCTCGCTGACACGTGACCTTAAATAGTCCATGGTGAGGAGCTCTTTAGTAAATGTGTCTCACGTAGCTGAGACTTACGGGTAAAAGGGGAGAGTTATGTCTCTGGCCCCATGCAGTGCTTCTCTTGTAGGATTTTCCTGTTGTGGTGTTTTTGTTGTAACATGGACACCTCTATGCTGCAGGGGCAGAAGGGGGTTCCAGACTGTATTTCCACGTTTGACATTTAGTCTAATTTTAGACCAGCGGGATCTGTGGCTCATCTTTTAAAAAAAAAAAAAAAAAAAAAATCTCATTTGTAAACTCATTAAGAAACTCGGGAAATGCAATGCTGGAAACATGTATGCAAACGAGCAATAAAGCTTGCCGAACAGCTGCTTGTGTGATGCGGCTCCTGTTATGTCTTGCGGATGATGCATTCCTAATGCTGAACTTCGAACTGGAGGTGACGTCAGCGTGGATTTGGAAAGGTTAGTAAAGCTCTTTCGGGAACACTGCCGACTGTAAAGGAGGGGAATTGCTTGTTCCATCCTGCTGCATCTTCGTTTTGGTTCTCTGTATAAAGAAGCTTACACCTGAGGATAAACTGTAGCACAGCAGTTGCCTGCTGTGATATGACAGGGTGGGGCCATATTTTGCTTGCTTTATAGGGGGTGGCTGCCACTGCTTTCTTCATGCCTGCAGAAGTCCCCTTGAACATGAGTCTGCAAACACTTTTGCGCTACAGGGCCCAGACATTTGCCTGAGGGTGCTATGCAACAAACATTTCCATGCTAGTCCCAGCCTTTAGGAAGGGAAAGCTAACTGGAGGAGGACTGTCGGTGTGTCAGGTGTCCTTATTCTGACAACTCTCTGGTTTAATGGCTCCCTGGAAAAAGCCTGGGGATCAGATAGGTGCAGAACTGCTCAGGATATAGGATTTGCCATCTCGGGAGATGAAGGACCTTTAGTGAAGATTATGTAAATTTAGACTCCATGCCTTTGAACTACCCCTTACTTAAATGCCTGCACATCTGGTGTCCCTGATTGGGTTAGATCTTCTCCAGAGAGATTGCTGGCTTTCTTTCTCTGCACTCCCCTTCACTGCCGTGCTGGGGGACTAAGGAGCCAGAGGTCCCAGCCATGTTCCGCTGTCCCACATATGCTCTGGCCATTAGATGGTGCTGTGATGCCAGGAACTGCTGAAATGCTTGGAGGTGATGTGAACCTCTTGGGGCTGAGTGACAGCCTGTAGCTGGGGTGGAGAGGGGGGGGCGCTGGTCTGAGAGTCGGTGGCTCATTAGATGGCTTCATCTGTACTTGGTTTCTACTGAACCCCTGCTCCCCAGCTGCACTAGATAGCCAGCCTGCCACAGCTGATTAAAAGGTCTTCCTCTGCCTCTGAATCAAAGCCCTAACTGCTTCTGCTTGCATTCCCCAGCCTTTCTACTTCCAGTTGCTCAAAGATCAGTGCTGCGCTTCAAAGCGAGTTCACCTGCAGGGAAGCAGAATGATCTGGTTCCTTACTCTCTCCTCTTTCCATCCCCCTACACAACAGGAACTGTCTCGGACCAAACTCATTCCCTGAGAATCCCTCTAGGAAACCTTTTGAATTCATGAGTACTAACTACATTAAAACACCGTCTCCAGATCCCTGTTGTCCTTGATATTTGAATGCTTGTAAGCTGAAAGGCAAGGCTCCAAACCTGTCATCTTCTGCCTCCTTATCCCCATCCATCCCTCACTTAGACACCTGAGGGCCAGCAGGTGTGACTGACTTGAATGCTACTAATATGTATTCTAGGATCTAGGAGCACTGGTCATTTTATTTGCTTTGGCTAGAGTTAGCCTTGCAGTCGCTTTATTTTTTTGCGTATCCCCCTTCCACACAGTGCTATTCCCAGACATGTAAGCAGTCAGCAATTTGGCTGCTGGGCCTAAAGTGTGCGCCCAGCAATTGAGAAGGGCTGAACAGTGCTAGAACTTTTGCCCTGGTGCCTTATTTCCTCCATCCAAAGTGGCCTGGAGGGTAGTGGGAGCTGCTACAAATGCAAGGAACTAGTTTTCTCGTAACACGGTTACATGGAACAGATAATGAGCCAGCAAGCCCAGGGTGATGCTGCTGCCTTTTTCCTTGTGCTTCTGGTGGAAGACCCGAGGGCTGCCTTCAATTAAGCTCTTTACATTAGATTTGTCTGCGTTGATGAATTATGTCACAAATTAGCCTTAATGAAACGGTAAAAAGTGGTTGAGGCCAATATGAGATGAGCATCTGGTGAAGAATGGCCTCGATTCTCATAGGACTATCTAGGCTTTGAAAGCCAAGTCCTTTCTCCCAGCCGCAACACACCCTGCTGCAGCGTGGACTGAACCACCCTCTGGAAACTGGCTAAGAAATGGTCATGTCCAAGGGGTTATCCAGTTCAGCACACCCCTAAGCAACACAGTGTTGTATGTTGTTCTCCTGACTGTTGGGATTTGGGGGGTAGAAGAGATGAATCTGTTTCTTTACAGTACGGGGAGAAAAATGGCTGGAGCAGTTCAGGGGAACGGGACCCATTCTTCTGTAAACTGGACAAGTCAATTAACCTGGCCATGCCTCTCATTTCCCATCTGTAACAGCCGCCTTTGACAAGTGTTACATTTTGACTGTTCAGGAGCATCTTGGAAGAGACGGTGACATTCCTCCATTAGTCTTTGTGCCTCACTTTAGAGGCAGCATCTTCAGGACATCATGCTGCCCCCAATAATCAGAATAAACTCTTCAGTTGAAGACTGTCCAGCAGCCCAGAAAACAATTTGATAAGTCAGCAAGGTCTGAAAGACCCCTGCTCTGTTCCCAGCAGCTCCTGGCCCCATTGTCTCTTGCCATTCAAAGGTTGTGGCTTGTCCACAGCGAAGCGCAAAGGTCTCTTGTCATGCACATCTTCCACTTCTCCACCATTATGTATATAAACACATTTAGCGCATGAGCAACAGAGGCGGTTTTTGATCTGCTTGCTTAATGCACAATTCACTGAAATTGGTCTGTCTGAATGTGTTTGTTTTTTTTTTTTGTTGGGTTTTTTTTTTTTTTTTTTTTTTAAGTGACTGAACCACCTGAGAGCAATGCTGCCTTGAAACCTGGTTATTTAATATCCATTACAGGGGAAGGGAAAGGTCCTGAGTTGCATTTACATTCCAGCAGGGAAAAGGAGTGTCATGATTTAAAAGCGAGTTAGCGAGACCAGGGGAGGCATTGTTTAAAAGCTATTTGTTTAATGAAATCGTAAAAATGAATTTAGATGAATTTCTCAAATTGCCATGCTGAGGCCCCACTTTCAAAGTTTCCCAACGTTTATGTGTATGAATCACTGAGCGTGGCATTCGTCCTCCGAGCTGCCGTGATTCTGGCTTTAATGGCTCTTCATTCTGGGAACAGATGGCTCTGGAGACTGCTGACTTTAGCAGTTCAACTTTCTGAAAACATTGGACACTGCGTGAACAACTCTTGGGGGTTTTTTTATTGTTGTTTTTGTTTTTTTGAGCTGAAAAGCTAGAACTGTCTGCTTGCATCTGGAGGAGCCCTGGGAAACAGGGAGTGGGAAGGTCTGATGCCCAGCATAACCCTAACACACACTCCTCCTCAAAACCCCATTGCAATTTGGCCCCTTAAGCCTAGATCAGCAATTCTCGACTAGGGTGTCACAACACTCTGGGGTGCCTTGAGATCCTTCCACGGGTGCCCTGCAATGTTAACACTGTTGGATGTGCAAACATGATTCATGAAGTTAACCCCAGAGATTTTGATTCAGTAACCTGTAACGTTAAAAATACTCTGACCTGCTGAGGTCTTTCTGAGTTCTTTGCAACAGGAGAACTGCTCTAATTTTTTCACAGCAGGAAAACTGTGACACAACCCAAGACCTGGTGTTTTCCAAGGGTGCCTTGGTCTAGAAAGGCTGAGAACCACTGAACAGATGTAACATGGATGGACTCGAAAGCCAAATCCATCTGCGAATTGGGAGGGGAGGTGTGGAATTCAGATCCCGCGTTCCCTTTGGACCCTTACGGTGCAAGTCCTGAGATGCGGCCCCCTCTCCTACTAATACACGTCTGTGCAGCCCTTATAAAAGTGATGCTGACACGAGTGCTTACAGAGCTGGGGGTAACTACTGCCACCACAAGCGTTACCCTGGGCTCCGAGGGTGAGAGCCTAGCCTCCTATGGGGAAACTTCTGTGGCCTTCAGTGGGGCTAGGTTTGTGCGAGTCAAGAAGTGATCAGGGGCAGCTAACCCTCAACGTCTTCTGTGCCATGAGATATAAGTTAACAACCTTTGCCTCTATTTAGTTGCTGTTCCTCAGCCAGAGGAAAAGCATCCAGTCCCCATGCTGCTTGTTGAGACATTGATATCACTGGGATCGGCAGAAAAAAAATCAACCTAGCGCTCCCGCTGCAGAAATGCTGTCTCTGTTGCTGGGATCATATTGAAAGCCAGTCCTCTGAGGTAAGCCCTATTGCTTTAGATACGTACCTACTTGTAGGCATCTCACAAGACCGAGTGCCTCAGCTCCTCTGCATGGCGCTGAACCTGAAGCTCTTCAGCTGTTCTGCTCTGACAGTGTTAGCAGTACTTGGGGGCTCCTTATTTAATGCCTTTTCTCCCCTGAGCAAAGGAGAGGAGGAGGATGCACCAGCGTCTCCAAGCTAGAGGCAGGAGTGCTCTGTAGCTCCAGGTCCCTCAATTGTGAGGGACTTTTTTTTTTTGTACACGTGTTAATTACTTTAGCATAACAGTACCTCGTGAACAGACTTCCTAAGGCTGAAAGGGGAATAGACTAGAATAAGATGTAAAATTGCAGCAGCTGCTTTGAGGAGCTATTTAGGGATGTGATGAAAAGCATTGAATGAAGTTGTTCAGGTTGGCTAGCTTATTTTTCCTGCATAACCAGGGACTTCTTCCTCTCCTGGGAAATTTCCATGGGGATTAGAGGGGTATTTGTTTTAGTGGTCTCCATCCCCAACCTTCCCCGTGGTCCTGGAGGTGACCGAGTGACTGCAGCGCACTGTGGGACCGATTGTTATCTGCAGATGGATCAGGTGATCCCTGTTTGTTTTCCCCAGTAGCTGCTTTTAATTAGCATCACTTAAAATACATTTCCAGCATGTGCAGTAATGAGAGCGCTGTTCTAGCACTCAGTCCTGCCTGAGCCAGGACCACTGTACCACGCGATGGCACTGGTAGACACTGTCTTGTCCTGTCTAGCTTGCCTTTCTGGTATGTTAGCTCTAGACTACATTCCCATTTACCTGTTCATCTTCCTTCTGCTCTCCTGCTTCTGTTGCTAGCAGCAGTTGCCACTCCTTCCCTGCTCTGCCTGTTTGAGATTTGCCACACCTGATCTGTTTGCTTTGCTCAGGGCCGAGCTTGGGCAAGGTGGGGCTTCCAGGAGCTGTTAATGAGGCAGGCTATATAAGCACTGGCCCTTCTTTGCATGGATTGTCCTGTCTTTAATGGGCATCAGCAACACCTGCTCCTGTTGCACCTTTGCTGGGGTTTGATCGAGACGGGGGAGTTTCTCTTTTTGGAATGGCTGGCTGTGGGGGGTGATATTTTGCTCCCACTGAAGTCAATGGCAGTATTCCCATAGACATTGCAGGGGCCAGGATTTCACCCAGTCTGCTTTAACTATCACTAGGCCACAGATGTTGCTTGGAATGGGTGGCTCGGGAGCCTGATCCTTCTGAGCCTGTCTCGGGTGCTAGGGTAGGAAGAAAGAATCGCTGCAGCACGTCTGGCCGTGCTAGCCAGAAAAGGCAGAGCTGAAGGGAAGGGGTTTGATGGGCTGCCCTCTGTCTCTATTATGACTCAAGCTGGCTCTTGGCAGCATTGATTAAGAGCTGGCAGGATGAGGCTGAGCTGCTGTAGTAGCAACTGTCCAGGGGTTTCATGGCTGGTGAGACAGGAGCAAAGGGGCATGGGGCAGGGAGCTTAGCTCAAATACCTGGGTTCTGTCTGGTGAATGTTTTATCTACTGCATTGAAATATTGCTGTGGATTTCAGCATGACCCAAACAAGTCAGGCTTTTCTTAAACAAGGCCCTGCTGATTGTGCTGCACAGAGGCTACAATGAGGAGCCAACCGTTTAGTTTTGCTGCCCATGCTGAATGAAGTAACCAAGCATGCATGCAGGGAAATGGTAAGCTTGGCTTAAAAAAAGTCCACTTTCTAATCTTGTGTTTTTGATGCAGAAGGTAGTAACAGGCCAGATTTCAATCTTGGGGTATACATCTGGGGTACTGATTTTTGCTGGATGTTTGCTGGATTTACAGGGGTTAAGACTGAAATTTGGACTCTGCACTTCTGCTTTCAGACCATAGAGAAGCGGCAGGAAGAGCAGAAAAATCCAGGGCCCAGCTTCTGATCTGTGTTTCCCCTCTTTCCTGTGCACAGAGCAGCTCTGGTGAGGTTGGCAAAGAGGTTTGGATTCGCACTTCTTGGCCTGAGACTAGACTTGTGTCCTGCAGTTCAGAGCCTGGCCACATGTGCTCTCTACAAGAATGAAAGCGGCGTGATTTGTGCTCTGATCAAAGTGAAGTGAACCCCTGTAACCTTCCTACTTAAAGGTTCCCTGCCTCGGGCAGTGTTTGAAGGATCTCCTGTAACAACGCCTCTGAAAAATGTCCTGCTATATTTCTTTTTTTTTTATATAAAGATTTGCTGGGGCCTGACACTTACCTGCAAATAACTTGTAAGTATGAATTCTTTTTATAAAGTCAGTGCCTGGCTTGTTCTGTGTGGCAGGGAACCTAACTTCTTCCCAAGGGAGAGGTGCTGTGTGTGGCTCCTAGTCTAACACAGCATGGCTGAATTTAATTGGATTTCATTAGCTGAATGGGGGCTGGCTTGTTTAGATGCCAGGTCTCTGAGAGACCCAGGAGATGGTGGAAGTGGTGTGGGATGACGGACCTACCTTGGGGTTAGCAGCTGCTCTGCTGCTGGAGACTGTGTGTAATAGGATGCAAAATAAATGCTGTAATGTTGGGTGGGGGAGAGAAGAAAACAATCCCTGGGCACTTTTCTTTGTGTGTGTGAGCATTAACCTAGGTGTCCTGGCCAAATTTAAATGCTGCTGTTTGCATTTGCCCTGCCTACAGCTCCCCTTGTATTTTCTCAGGTGAACAAAATGTTCTTGTTGTCTCTGGTCCTGTTCATCAGTTGCTGTTTTCCATACCCAAAGTGGCTTGCACATCAGTGCCTGTCAGAGCGAGTTCTGTTCCATTCGTCAGCTGCTTTCGGAGTCTCCTGAATAACGAGATCATGCAGAAAGGTAATAGCATTCGGATGAGATCGGAGAGGTCCTCTTGTTTGATCCTCTACTGTCCTTACACTGAACCATCCAAATCAGATGTGTTTGGTAGTGAGATGCTCTCCATGTGCCTGCCATGATGGGGACCAGTCACTCACAAAGGGCTTGTTTCAATTTTCCGGTGCCTAGGGCCCCAGTGATGGAAGGGGATTCACCTATGAAGAAGTCGATACCACCACTGCATTATCTCTGACTTGTGCTGCAGAGGGATGCTGGGAGATGCTCTGAATGGGTGCAACTATATATGGGTGCACTGACTGGTCTGTGATGGCCAGGTCTGATCCCTTTGCAAGCAGAAGATTACAGGTTGTTTCCATGTTACCCCCTAACTCCTGCAGGCCTTTTTGTCTGGGGACTTGCAGATACCAGGTTCGACTAGGAGAACCTGAGCAGTGTTTGGGCCCAGAGACTGGCCTGGGAGCAAGTGAGAGGATGGTGTGAGAGGTTAGAGCCAGACGGACATCTGCCTCCAAGATCTCTGTTCTCCACCTGCACTTTTAATGGAGGTTCAAGGAAGGTCATTCTCCTCCCACTTATCAGGCAGCAGAGAAGCCTGACGAAATAGCTGGGCCAAGGCATTAAAGCCAAAGCCTGTCTTCTTCCTCTGGCATTCAGGAGGCATGGGCGGAGGAAGCCAGCAGTGAGAGATGCCTCCTGCCAGGGCAGGAGGTGCCAAGTTGTTGGATGTTGCAGTGTGAGGTGAGTCTTCCTTGTGGCTAATGCAGCCTCCATTTTCCCTGTTTGCACAGTGCAGCTAATGGCACTCACCCTCCCTGGGGAGCAGAGCAGCAGCGTATGTTTGTGGTTTTGGTGAGTAACCGGAGAGCTCTGGCCGCGCAAGTGCATTAATGCAGCAACAAACCCACTTGAGCTATGCATTCGGCAGGCACCAGGACTGCAAATAGGTGACCTTGGAGGAGAAGGAAGCCTCCCTGGCCTTGTAAATGCTGCCGTGCTAAATATCATGCCTCCAAAGGGTTACTTTGGAACAAAACTGCAAGGAAGTTGCCTGTTCTTTTGAGAGTCCAACTCTTACAGGGATTAGTGAGAGTTGGATGTAAGGAGTAAATGGGCAACAGGCCTGGTAAAGAGGGCATTGAATTGAGAGGCAGGAGTCTCGGGTACTGTTCATAACTGCCATGGGCTCTGCCTGTAGTTTGTGTTTTTTCCTTCTGCCTCCCTGCTTGCTCTCACCATTTTAGCACATTGCTGTGTGATGAAGATGCTTCCTCTCCCCTTACTGTTGCATGTTAACCATTAAGGGATGCTCATCCCCGTGCCTTGCCCTTGCCTCCTTTAGCATATGCTGCCTGGTAACACTCTTCCCTTCGAGAGAGATGAGCAGAAAAAGCATCCATCAGCAGGGCTGCCAACTCTTGCAATCGGATTCGGAGCCTTGCGATTATCTAATAGGTTTTTTCCTTGAAGCACCGGCTCCTGGAGTCATGTGATGAAATCTAAAGCAGGAGTTCTCGTGTCTTCTGAACCCCCCCCTTATGTCTAGGCCATGTAGTTGTGGAGGACCGCTTGGAAATGTGACCCGGCTGCTCGTTCTGGGCTTAGAAACCAGAAGCTGCCTTTGAAATTAACTGAGGGATTTAGCTCGATCTGTCGGCTTCCTCCATCACAGTGGCTTAGAAAGTAGCAAGAGCCAGAGAAGAACTTGTCTCCGATTGGTTGCATAAGCTTAAGCTCCCTCCCACTGTAGACAGGGATGCCAAAATACTCGGTGTCCTGGGGATCAGCGATGATGATGATGTCTTCCAAGCTCCCCTCCGCCTGCTGTCCCTGCTGCTGCTGCTGTGTGCACCACAGCAACAGGCTCAAGGAGCAGGCATCTTCTCAGCCTCACAGTGTCAGATCAGGACTGCTCTGATCCCCAGTCCCTCTTGTAAGGAGATGATTTTCCTGCATCATAAAACTCTGACATCTCAGAAACTTCCTGGCCTGATTCAGGAGAGTCACATTCTCAATTTTTTTTTTTTTTTTTTTTTTTTTTTTTTTAACTAAAACTCTAGAAAATTGGGCCAATCCATGTGGATTTTTAAAGATTTTTCTTATTTTGGTTTTTTTTTGTTTGTCTTTGTTTTGAATGTCAATTTGGCCTCTTTTCTTTGTGTTGTGTGTGTGTGTTTTTTTTTTTGTTTTTTGTTTTTTTTTTTTAAGCAACATAAAATTTACATTTTGAAACCAAAGTTGGTTTTGATACAAAAATGAGCCGTTATTAATGTAGAAAATGCCATGTTGGAAGATCCTCATGTTGGTTTCAGAATGCTGTTAAAGCTGTTTGAAGGTACAGAGACAGGCAACAAAGTGATTAGTGGTATGAAGGGCCCTCCATATGAGGAGGGACTAAGCAGGTTAGGTCTATATTCAGTTTGGAGAAGAGATGCCTGAGGGGAGACATAAGGATTTACAAAACACTAAATGGTGGAGAGGAAATAAATAGGGATTGATTATTTGCTGTCTTTCACAGTACCAGAATTAAAGGGTCACAAAACAAAAACTAGTAGGCAGTAAATTTTAAAATTAGCAAAAGGAAGTTTTTTTGGGGGGTTTTTTTGTTTGTTTTTTTCACACAGCGCGTCAACAAAGTGTGGACCTTGTTGCTACCAGATATTGCAGGAGCTGATATTTAGCCAGATTGAAGAGGAAAAAAAAAAAAAGGGATTGGACAAATTCTTGGAGGAAAGGGGCATTGGTAGCTATTGAGCATGGGAGTTAGGGGTGCAGCCTCTGAATTGGAAGTTGCTGGAACTGAAATGCTGGAGGCTGCAAGTGAGAAGTGACCGGGGTTTTTCCTACCCAGCTCGCTCTCCCTTTTAGCACCCACTGTGACACGGGACACTGGGCCAGATGGACCTACTGCTTGACCCAGTAAATGGCAGCTCTTCTGTTTTAAACCCACCCTTTCCTGGGATCAGTCAGTGTCCTACGACAGTTTGTGTTTGGTTTTTTTTGCATTCCACCCCTTGCTCCCATCCAGTGCTAGTAACAAAGCCCTTAATTGTCTTTAAACACAGTGTTAAACCTTGGGGGACACAGGCAAGGCTTGATAATCTGCCTCTGCTAGCAAACTCTCTCCCCCTTTCTCTTGCCAAAACTTTGATCTCGGCTTTTATCTTGGATACTCCTGGATGTACTCTGAGGGGAAAGACCTGGCTAGAAAAATTAGAGGGCACTTGCTTTCTAGCAGTGCTTTGTTTCTCCCTGTTTCTCTGCCGCCTGTCTTGTACTGCTCTATGTAGCTCTTATCCTGCTCTCATCACTGTGGTCTCGAGTGCCTTCCAGCTGGGCATTAGCTGATGTGACTAACATCTGTCACAGGGGGTTTGTTCTCTTATCTTCTTCCCTTTGGGACTGGATTGGACAGTGAACGCTCTCTGCGGATCAGACTTCAGGCCAAATTCTTTACTGGTGGAAATCGGCTCTTCAGCCAGTTGACACCAGAAGAAAATTTGGCTCTGTGAGATCACATGAGCCCTGTGCTCCCTCAAGTTGTTCTGCATAGACTGGGATTTAATCTCTAAGGCATAAACAGTTAAATGCACTGGTGCAATGCAATGTTGCACTCCCACTAATGCAATGTTACGGTTGGGAAATTCATCATTCAGAAGTCTAGGATTCCAAAATTATCAGCAATATCAATTTTCCCATTTTGTTTTGCAAGCAGCACTTTGCCGATTTTTGTTTTCCCTTTTTAAAATGTAAATCTTTAATGTAGTGTGTGGTTTTGCTTGTATGCACTAGATCTCAAACCAGGGGTTGCCAACCAATATAAAGGGGGTGTAAACATCCTATAACGATAAATGGGAAGGGAGATGTGGCTAGATGGGGGGAGGGGTCCTGGGATGGAGTAGGGGATTCTGGTATGAAAAGGTTGTAAACTCCTGCTATACACTGCACGTACAGTACACCGGATATGCAGTGGATTATATTCTTTGAATTGACCCCAGTATGGATCCTGTTTGGATTGCAAACACCACAGGCTGGCTAAATCCAATGAAGAAAACATATCTTCATTAAAATTAAAGAAGTTATGAAGCTGTGTTTTATTTCTAGAAATGATTTTGTGTGCAAAGATTGGGGTGGGGGGTGGAGGGAGGCACAGGTTTTGACTTGCTTTGACTCCTTTAAAAAAAAAAAAAAAAATCTTTCCTAGAATAAGAAAGCAAGCAAAGGGCTCCCAAAGACAACCACCCAGCAGCATGAATTAATCCAGTGTCGGCAGGAGGTGGCTGTGGCTGTGCAACTAAATACAGTGAAATAATGTAAATTTGGATAAAGTGTTTGTTTTTTTTTCTTGATGTTGTTTTGTTTTGGTTTTGTTTCCCTCTAGGGTTATTTGGCTCTACATTATGGCCCAGTCTCACCAACCCCGTCATGCTGCAGCATCCTCAAAGATCTGCGTTAGTGATGCCAAGACAGATCAGCTTTGGACTTTTTTGCTAAACTGCCCCTGGTTCCTGCCTGTTAGCTTTTCTGAACAGTGACACAGCCCACCCTTCGCTATAGCACTTAGTTCCCGTGCTGGAGAAGGAAGGAGCTAGTCTGTTTGTTTCTCTGGGCATTGGTTGGATTGGCTCTCATCTTTACATGCCCCAGTAACTGTTTTCTCCTTGTGGCCTAATGCAAGATAACTAGTGTTAAGTTCTGAAATCGTTCAAGGGTCACCGGAGCTAGTTGCTGTTTCTCTGGCTGTTGCAAAGGGCAACACTTCCTCGGGAACAAGGCAGCTCCAGTTCTCAGTGTCCGGGCGTCGTTTAGACTAGGAATAGTTAACTGCCTGAGTCAGGGTCATTATGTAAGCTGCAATCTCGCTCCCTTTCTCTTTCAAAATGCCAGGTGTCGCTTTCAAGACTCAGTGATGATCTCTATGTTTTCCTTATGGGTTTTAATGAGAATAGAGTACCGTCTTTATGAACTGGTGCATGCCTGTGAGAAATGTAAATGGGGAGCAGGCATGTGTGCCAGAGCAGCTGAGATCCTGAACCTGATCATGTTACACTGTGTGTTTTTGATATTTTTTTAACAATTTTTTTGTAATAGACTTTGCATCCGAGAGAGAGTTGGCTGAATGGTTTTATTTAAAAAAAAAAAAAAAAAAAAACCAAACAAACCCTGAAATAAAGAGTGTTGGATATGTTTGTACGTTTGACATTAAAACAGCATTCTTTCGTGGCCTTGAGTTCTTAACCTGTTGTTCGTCTCCTCTCAGAAAGGTGCTGGGTGCATTTTATAGGGCACTGCCTACAGGCCCTGTAGTGCAAGGTGCTGTACAAATAAAAGGTAAAGCTTACTTGCGATGAGTTTCCAACCCAAAGAGACAAGGCCATGCCGAGGGAGAACTACCCCCTTCATTTTACAGGTGCAGAGCAGTGGGGCAGTAAGGGATTTGAGGTGGAGTTATCACAGGGGCTCACAGCCACAAGTGGGCTCACATGGCAGATTGCATTTGCAGCTTCAGGGCCTGGCATGGAGGGAGCTCTTTAGGAAATGTGGCCCTGTGGGATGAGCTCAAGGTCGCAAAATCAGTGAACAAGCCCTGATCTGCACAGTCCTAGTCCAGCACCTTAGGTGCCCCACTTTGCTTCCTTTCCACACTGAGTGCCGGCTGGGAACTTGGCTGTTTCTTGGCACTATGCTACCAGGGCTCCTGGACCTAGACGAGCAGGACTCTTGCATTTATCCTTAAGGTGAGGGTGCAAGTAACCCTTGAAGGGTCTCTGTGCCTACTCCCCCTCAGGCTGCAGCCTCCCTGGGTCTGGCTTTCCCCAGCTGGGGAAGGTGGATAGGGTCAACATCTCGACTATTTCCAGGTAGGGGGTTTGGACTCTGGGACTTGTGTGCGCCTCTTGCTGGGGCTCCCACATCCCAGCGTGGGCCTTTGACAGGCATCTCTAGGCTCAGGTCCAGCTCCGTGCTTCTTCCCTTTCCCATTTCCTTCTATCCTCCCCCACTCCCACCCCTGTCTATTCACTCTCTGCGCCCACCCCTCTGGGAAGGGGCTTGCAAAGTATGAACTCTCCTGGGTTTTTCAACCCTGGCAGGAGCTTGGAGGTCTGTGGGTTGGATCTCTTAAGGACTGGGAGGGCTTTCTTGGGGCTGGCCCACTTTGGGACTGGGATGTTCTTTGGGACTGGGAGGTCCTTGGATGGGACCCCCTTAGGGACTGGGATGTCCTTTGAGGCTGGGAGGTCTTCGGACTGGACTCCTTTGGGGCTGGGAGGTCTGTAGGGGCCGGATGCTGCTTTGGGGCAGGGATATCCTTTGGACTGGCCCCTTTAGGGGCTTATGAGTCCTTAGGAGCTGGGAGGTTTTCTGAGGATGGGAGATCTTTTGGGCTGGACTCCTCTGGGGCTGCGAGCTGTTTTTTGGTGCTGGGAGGTCTTTTGGGGCTGGATGTTTTTTTTGAGGCAGGGATGTCCTTTGGAGCTGAGAAGTCTGCTGGGGCTGGGAGGTCTTTGGACTGGCTCCTTTGGGGCTGGGAACTTTTTGGAGGGCTGGATGGTCCTTTGGAGCTGGGAGGTCTTTTGGGTCTGAATGGTTTTTTGGGGCAGGGATGTCCTTTGGGGCTGGGAGGTTTCTTTGGGGCAGGGATGTCTTCTGGGGCTGGGAGGTCTTTGGACTGGACTCCTTCGGGGGCTTACTTGTCCTTAGGAGCTGGCAGGTCTTCTGGGCTGGACTCCTTTGGGGCTGGGAGGTCTTTTGGGGCTGGATGCCCTTTGAGGCAGGGGCTGGGAGGGCTTTGGGCTGGACTCCTTTGCGCTGGGAGGTGTTGGGGAGCAGGGGGTGCTTGGGGCTGGAGGCGTTCGCTGTGCAGGCGGGGAAGGTGGCCCCGGGCCGGGGGTGGGGGGAGCCCGG